CCGGTACCGTCTTCAGTAGCAATTGAATCTGCCACTGTCAAAATAAGTTACTTACATTTATTCCAAATAATCTCGTTTACTCTCAACTGTTTATGCAAATTATATAAGGTTTCTTATGCCCAAGCTTGAAAATTACTTTGCAGTAGACGAGAGGCAGCCGTCCACCCTGAAGCCGCGGTGTTACTTCACGTAAGAACGCACGGGATCTGTTTGCCAAGCCTGATCCGACCCCAAGGCAGCCACAAGCGGAGGGCGGCGGAGAAGGCTTGTGCGGGCACAAATGACCGAATTGTCAGCCACCGGCAGCAACAAGCGGAGAGCGGAGACTGCCGACCCCAGACGTTCGCTCGGGTGACGGAATCGTCTGCAGGGTTTTGCCCTTGGTTTACTGAGGGGGCCCCGGTTGCTGCCGGGACCCCCTTCCTGAAGTGCAATGCGAGAGGCACACCGTGTATATGCAGCGTTTCTTTGGCGTCGTTCTTTCTCTCTTTTGCAGTCACGAAGCCTGTTTGCATGGGATCCCTGCCACAGCAGACCACCCGTGGGCATTATTACCGTGTCTTGTAAAGGGCCAGTTTTGTTACGCAACATGCAGAGTGCTGTTCTCAGCCTCATCTTTCCAGACTTGTGTGTTTTCAGTCATTTCTTCAAGGGAAACTAAACGATTTAGTTTGAGCAAAGCTTTAAGTGTGTTGGCGTGCTTCTGTGTGGCGGCCTTGTGGCCAGGCCTGTGAGTGGTAGTGAGTCGGGTCCGGCTGGAGGTTTGTCCCCAGAGGGACACACTGCCCAGCTCATCAGGCACAGCTGCCCCTCGCCCCCCACCTGCCACCGTAGCACCCGGGTGTCTTTGCTGGGTGCTGCCCGTGACCGTGGGGAGCTCTGTCTGGGTGGCCCCGACAGCCTTGCCGACCCATGAGTTCGTCACCCTTGGCCCCGCATCTCTGGGCCTGAGGGCAGGGGCCCCTGCCGCAGCCAGGCACGGGGCCCTCCGGGCAGCCCTGCAGCTCCACCTCACGCCCTGGTCTTGGCCCCAGGGGAGGCTAGCAGGGTCACCCCAGCCACTCCCGACATCGGGTGGCACGGGCTGGGGGACTCCGGGCTACTGTGTCTGGCTGCGGAGCAAGGCAAGCTGCAAGTTCCATGTCTTTGAAGGAGAAAGGAAAGCCCCTGCCTGCTCCGTCACGGCAGGGCTGTGTGTGCAGCTTAGGTGGTCGCTTTCTTTATCCTGGAAGAAGAAAATCACGAAGGGAAAAAACCAACAGCAATAACATTCATGTCTGTGGAGCAGCTAACTCGTCCACGACCCCCCGCTTTCTGCACAGAACTAGCCAATGTAAAAACAGTTAACATGTAAATACTTTTTTTCATTTTACACCATTGTATTATACGTGTATATGGTGGCTCCTTTTTCAGAAACTTTTCTTACTTGGTAGTTGTCTGGTTTTCTGGCTGTTTTTTAACTGAGGAGGAAAAGCGCTCCTCGGCCCGCGGGACATGTGGCCCTGACCGGGGTCCTGGTGGCCTGCCCCTCAGCTGAGCCCTAGCCCTTTTCCACCCTAGCCTTGACCCCGCCGCCTCCCACCACATGCTGGGCTGAGGGCACCTCTTGCTTTATGTCAGGAGTCTCCAGTGACATTTTTTTCAATTAAAGAACCCCATTTCCAACCTTTACACGCTCCAGAGCCCCTGCCCCTCCCGTGTCCTCTGCTGCTGCTAACGACAATACGACAGCTTACTCTGCTACTCGAGAGCTATTTTTATGTAATTAATGTATGCTTTCTTGTTTATAAATGCCTGATTTAAAAAGGACAAAAGAAAAGCTTGGCATATTTATCTATTTCGCTGTGTACCTGTTAGTCCTCGCCCCTTGGAACAGATGACATTGGACAATAAAGGACTTGGAGAGCGCGCGGGAGGCTGTGCGTGTCCCCTGCCCCGCAGTCGGGTGGGTGGCAGTGGGTCCCTGAGTACGGCCACCTGGGCTGGGGCCGTCCGCAAGGGCATGTCTCGGGGGCTGCCACTCACCCAATGCCACCTGTGTCTCCAGGAAGAGGGCAGGGCCCTGCAGGCAGCTAGTGACTGCAGGCGCGGGGGATGCTGTCTCAGCGCCACCGTTTGCCACCTATCCACCCAACTCTTCCAGCAGGGCCCTCACGCCCCTCTTCCTACCCTTCAGCTCCCTAACCAGGGACCAGCGGAGCCCCCCTCCTCCAACCCCATTAGGACTTGCTCCTACCCTATCCACAGAAAGCTCATCACCCTGGCCACACCCTCTATAGGGACAGCACCAGGCCCCAGGCGCCTCAGCCTGGATGTGGGCCAGGCGTGCTGTGGAATCGGGCCCTCCCCAGCGCACACCTGGACACCCTGCGGGACAGATGGGCAGTGGCCGCTGAGAGGAGGGTGTGCAGCTCGAGGATGGGCCAGGCAGGGCAGCCTTCGCTGCAGGAAGCTGGCCAGGCCACGGAGCAGCAGCAGGAAGGGCAGGGCAGGGCTGGCGGCGTCCTGCCTGCTGGGACCTTGGAAGTGGGTGCATGGGGTCCGAGGCTGCAGTGGCCCTGGGACTGAGCTCACAGTCAAAGCCTGACCCAGGCGTGTGTCACAAGCCCTGACCCAGGGTGGCCCCTGGACGGGCAGAGCCCCCGTGTCCTTCCCAGCAGGGTGATCAGGGAGGCTGCACTCATCCTCTGGGTCCCTGCTCAGGGCCTCCTCTGTCCACAGTCAAGGCCTTTATGGCTGTGGGGTTCCCTACACCCTACTCCCACAGCTGGCGACTCGTACCGAGGACTTGGGGGGGTGAGCGTGACGCTGGGCAGAAGCAGGGCCGGCTCTTTTCACCTTGTTGCCGCCTTCCGTCCCGTCTGCGGCCTGGCCCATCCCCCACTGTGGCCCACGGCCACAGTGCCGGCGCTGCTTAGCTGGTGGATGGGTACCAGGTGTCTCTGGAAAGCGGAAGCTACTGCTCAGGCACTGTTGACTATTGGCTGGCATGCCCTTCCCCCTGCCAGGCCTTAGGGCGGGTGCTGCAGTGGCCGCTAAGAGTTCTGTGTGTGTCCCCATGGCCAGCTCAGTGGGGCTTGCCAAGCTTCCTCGCTGCCCCCGGGTGCCACCTTGGGGGAGGAGACCCACACAGCACCTGCTGTGACCTTGCTGCTGCCTCTGGCGCCTGTTCCGTGGAGGGCTGTAGGCCCCTCCTGCCAGGACGAGGCAGGGCAGGGCTCCACCAAGGCCCAGGCTTAGGGCCCATGCCCTGCAAGAAGGGGCCTGCTACGGCAGCCTGCCTGGCAGCCTGTACCCCGCAAAGGAAGGGCTTGCAGCGTGACAGCGCTGGTACAAGGATGTGAAACTGGGGCGGAGGAGCTGGTTCCCCCAGACGCACCCGGCGAGGCCAAGACCTCCTGCCTGCCGAGGGGTGGGAACAGACACTGGGGTCTGGCTGGCTGCCTGTCCCAGCCACCCCACAGAGTCAGTGACGCGTGCGGCCATCTGTGACCGGCCCGCGCCAGGCAGGTGGAGGCGTCAGCACAGGTGCCCAGGCCTGGAGCAGGTGGTCCACTGCGGGAGAAAACAGGCAGGGGCGCGGGCCGGCCGGCTGGTCTAGGTGTGCCACGTGGGGCCAGGTGTCTGGCCAGCCAGAAGGAAGCTCCCTGCCCTGTGGCCGGCCTGGCAGCATTGCTGGGCACATCTCATGGGCCGTGAAGAAACTCGTTCTGGAACGCAGAGTTGGCGCTCGAGGAGGTGCAGGGTGAGAACTCCACCAGGGCAGGCCGTGCAGGAAGGCAGCAGATGAGGCCTGCGGGACACCATCCTGGAGCCCGTGCCACCCCCACCCCCACCCCCACCGCCACCCAGGGCCTGTTGTGCACGAGGGGTGGAGAGCAGGTGCCTGGCTGCCCCAGAGCCTGGGGCCCTGCGGGTCGAGGCTCAGGCAGACCTGGCCGCCTTTCTCTGTGGGGTCTGTGTGGGCTCCTCCAGGCTGGGCGGTGCCTTAACTGTCGCTTCCTGTGCCATCCTCTCAGTCCTGGGCACCATGGGTCCTGGTCAGCTGGCCGGCTGTCCTGTCTGCACCCCTCTTCCCGAAGTCCAGGTCTCTGGGACCTCTGGCCAGGCAACCTTAGAAAGGCTCCTCGGAGGAGGCTGGGCCAGGGTGCCCTGTCCAGGACAGGCTCCTACCGTGAGTGGGAGCTACATACTGCAGGACCAGAGTGGAGGCGCTGCCACTAGAGTGCTGGCCAGGTGCCCCAGGTCCTCCGCTCCGGCACCTCCTGCTTCCAAGAGCCAGAGGGAGGAGGGGACAGGCACAGGTCAGGCAGTCTTGCCCCCGTCCCAGGGTGGGGCAGGGGTCTCCTGGCCTGGGGAAGCCTGCGTGTGTATGTGTGCGCCTGCGTGCACGCGCATGGCTGTAGGCTGGGCAGAGGGCAAGGGACTAAGGCCCACGGCGTGCCCTGGCCCCCTGAGTTCCATCCGAGCTGCAGTTCCCCTGGCTGCTCTGTCACCATACCTGATCCAAGGGAGGTGACCCAGTGCTGGGACCCATCA